AGCATTGGCCTTGATGGGACACCCTTAATCTCGTAAGACTGATGTTGCAGATTAAAACTAAATTTGCTTTAAAAGACTTAGTTCACCCAAAAATGTTAATTATGTTATTTTTGCATATTTTTTGTTATCTTTGCATTTATTAAATTGTTTAGCTCAATACTTTATTTTTTGTTTGACACTACATTATACACTATATGAATCCTTAGTTCAGTTTCAAAACATATAATTTATATGTAAATGAAGATATTTTAGCTCTCTCATCCTCCATAGACGACAAATTTTCCAACTCCTTCATTGTCCAGAAAACAAACTACAATCATAGCTATGTTTTCATCCAAAGATGCGAATTAAATGTATGTGCAAAACAGGAACATCACATAAAATGCATGCAAATAAAGCAACATTTCCATAATTCCTGATTAACTGGTGCCAAATATGAACAGTTGACCTGCGCCTCAGAAGACAAATGCCGACACACTGTGAACAGACAGTCATTAATAATATAATAATACTAATACTTAAATGGTTAAGGCGTTTTAGAATGACCAAAACAACATTTTAGGGGCCTCATGTATCAACTCTGCGTATGCACAAAAACTTAGCATACGTCAGGTTTCACGCTCACGTTTGGATTTACTAACAATGAAATAAACGTGTGAATGTGCATTGGTCCACGCCAACTTCATGTCTGCCATACGTGCATTTCTTGTGTGTGTTTGTTTTATTTCCATTGGTAACTCTTAGAGGCAATTATGTTAAATTGTACACTACAAAGTATCTTTGAGCTTTGCAACGTGCCTTTACTGACAAAGTCTCTGACAAATACTGTGCTACCAAGACCATTACTAGTTTTAATATGCACGGTAAAAAATGTTTGGTTCCACACATGATTAAATTATGTTTTTACAAATTTAAGTGGATTGAATATAAAACAATTTAGTTGTCCCCTAAAAACCTCAACAAATACGTTATTTCAGCTCATTTTAAATACATTTGAATAAAGAGCAAACATCATTTTGAGCGTGTCTACATTTTCGACAGATTAATAAACAACCGATTAAATCCTTTAACAGTAGTTTGTTAAAAACCTGTACATGATAAACTTGTCAATAGTGTATAAAATATTTGAAACCCCTGTTCTAATATAACAGGCTCCTAATCATGTGTGTTAAGCTTTTATATTGTCAACAGTTATTTAAAACATTCATGTTGTGTAATATTTATCCAGTACTCAAGGGGTTAAAGGGGAAGTGCTGTTTTGACTGAACTGGTCATTAATCCTGGCACCTCCACACTTTCTGAGGTAACGTCTGACCCATAGTCAGACCGTCCACTTCCCCTGGTCAGTGTTGTTCTTGTGATTTTAAGAAATATACTCTATGCAAGTAGACAAACAAAGGCTTGAATGATCAGCCAATTCAAATGCTCCATTTCTGTAAACATATAGCAAGATCTTTGGCAGAGCAAAAACTCAAGAGAGCAATAACATTACATTCAGACATCTCTGTCATTCAGCCAAATGGGCTAATATTTAGGCTAACAGTTATAAACATGTTTGTGGCCAATTTTTTATACAGAGATGTAATTTTGGAAAGCAACTGTGCATGTGCTTGTAGCTAGAAGTCTTTGTGTTTACATCATGTTTGTATATGTTTTACCAGTAAACTAATACTTTTATTATTTTTGTTAACATATATATATATACACATTCATGATACATTCACTAAATGCAAGAATATAGTGTTGAGTAAGATACTCAGTGCCACGAAATGTTAGATTATAGCTGAATGCTACAAAAGGAAGTTATGCTAAGCTAACAAAAGCTAGCCTTGTCTGTGTGACAGCCTGTTTACTGACAACAGATTATTATAGATTACAGATTATACTCAAAGTTAAACTCAAGTAAAAGTACTGTTATTTGCACAAACATGTAGTGCAAGTAGAGTAACAGTATCTGTTGTAAATATTACTCAAAGTATGAGTAAAAATGAGCCCTTTTAACAGTACTCAAGAGAAGTAACTATTACTCTGTTAAAAGCTGATGTGTTTACATGTCATTTGTATGTGTGTGTGTGTGTAAATGTAACATTCTGTAGGGCATTTAGTTATACTTTACGGCCATTTCGGTCATATACAGTAAACATCCGTCATCTTCTCATCAGTGACATGCATCTAAACCACAGAGGCCAGTTCCAGTTACTGGAGGCCTGCAGCTCTGCACAGTTTAGTTCCAACCCTTCAACACACTTACCTTTACGTTTCAAACAAGCCTGAAGGACCCAATTATTGTGATCAGGTGTGTTTAATTAAGGTTGAAACTAAACTGTGCAGAGCTGCAGCCCTCCAGGAACTGCAATTGACACCTATTATATAAACAGTCTCTCTGTCACTGTGTGTAAAGATTATTGACATTTTCTTGGACACTTTCAATGCTTCCAAGCAGTTTGCTGCATTTATAAATCGCCCATGTCTTAAGATCATGATGTGATTTAACTTCTTTGTGTTGACAGGAATCACAGGACTGATTATTCTAATCCCTATAGACAAGAAAAAGTAAAGTAGTGACGCAAGTAAAAGTAAAAGTAAAAGTACACATTTTTAAACCTACTTAGTAAATTTCAATTCCTGAGGAAGAACTACTCAATTACAGTAATTTGAGTATTTGTAATTTGTTATTTTACACCACTGAATTTACCCTATACATTCAATTATTTGCAAATACAGTATGTAAAGTATTTATGCATAATCTCATGAGAACTTTTTGAGGTATCATTGTGGGATGGTGTGCGGTGGAGGATGAGTTAGTGCTTATGAAAATTAATACCTTAAATAAGTATACTAGGATGTTTCAGACACACAATTGCAAGTTAATGAAAATGTGTTTCAGTTTAGGGTTATATTTGTTCATTGGTTTTGTTGTATTCAAAAATAAGTATATATGTTTATGGTAAACAGAAACGCATTTTAATCTAACTTCTTTCATGCAAGTCCATATGAATCTGTTTATTTTTTCCCTAAAATTCTGCACTTTTAGTCATCTGTTTTCCGCACTGTAAAAACGTATATGATCAGTTAGTCCTGACAGCATTTGTTTTTAGTTCATTGTGACTTATTAAACAAAGTTATTCGTGTTCTACCTTAATTTTATAAGTTAGGCACTCTGTTTTAAGTCAGTTTAATATAAAGTAAGTTTAATGGACTCAATTGATCCAGTTTTTTAAAATTTAAGGCAACCAGGATTTTTTCTACATTTTAATTTTACTAGCCAAACAGCTAGATTAGCTATACTGTATAAATAGCTAATCTAATTTATAAAAATGTATCAATTAAATTAATCAATAAAATATGAATTCAAAATATATACTCTCTGTATAAGTCCACTTGTCTCAAACTCCTTTATTCCACTATTTTTACATTGTCTTTATGTACTGTTTTAAATACACTGTACTTTAGCAATACTGCAGAATATTTGCATATACGTCTTAAATGTAATGCAGTAAAAATCAAGTATTTGCACAATCTTTTACTCTTTTTTTTTTATAGCACTATTTAACTAAAGCACTATAAGCTGAACAAATGTGAATGTTAAGATGTGCTAGCTAGATTTTTGCACTCACACACAAGTGTACCGCGCCAAAGCCCAAGTAAACCGCGCTCAGGCCCACCTCTTCCAACCGGGCCAGGGCCGGCCAAGTGAATCATGCTTGAGCCCGATTTAGCGCACTCACACTTCTCAAACGATCTGGGAAACGGGCCAGGGCACGGTACGAATGGCATAGTGTGAGTAGGCCCTTATTGGTATGTTTGTGTTTGCTGACAACTGCATGTACAAAGCAGACTTTCATAAAAGACTCTGTTGATGGTCAGTACTTAGTAAACCCAGAGAGAGTGTATTTTCTCTTTGAACTTGGAGTCTTTGTACAATTTTTTTCAACTGCAGCCGCAAGGCCTTATGAAGTTTTACCAGCAGTTGTTTCTGTTCTCACGTCACTATAATGAATATATGGAAATTCCATTATGCTCTGCAGGCAGTTATTGCCTCTTTATTGACCAAATTAAAAACCATCGCCTCAAAGTAGCAAAAAATAACTAATGTTTTCCTGTTAAGCTTGGCTTGGTGCATTTCTTCTGTATTGGCAGAATCAAAATTGAATATACAAATTATGGCCAGTTATTTCAATGCAATTGTCATGATTGCACATATTTGTATATACTCGTTCATTCATTCATTTTCTTTTCTTTTAATCCGTGGTCGCCACAGTGGAATGAACCGCCAACTTATCCAGCAGGTTTTAACACAGCGGATGACCTTCCAGCCGCAACCCATCTCTGGGAAACATCCACACACACTCATTTACACTCTTACACTATGAACAATTTAGCTTACCCAATTTACCTGAACTGCATGTCTTTAGACTGTGGGGGGAACCGGAGCACCCGGAGGAAACCCACGGGAACGCAGGGAGAACATGCAAACTCCACACAGAAACGCCAACTGACCTAGCCAAGGCTCGAACCAGCAACCTTCTTGCTGTGAGGCGACAGCACTACCTACTGCGCCAATGCGTCACCCTTTGTATATAATGTAATATGAAATTATTAGTTTTGTATTTTAATTAAAGGCATGTTTAAGGTCAGAGTGCTACATCTAAAATGCATTTGCATGTACTTAAAAAGCTGGCTTTTTCCAAATTGTTTCACTTAGCTCTTTTTCTTTGGAACATAAAGTATTTTGAACAGTGTTAAAGGGTTAATAGGGTCAAAAAACTGATAATTAACCCATTACTTTAATCCTCATTATTTTATGCATGCAGCTTTGGAACATAAAAAATAAATACAGAATTATCCTATTAAACCACAGCTGAAAATTTCTCAAAGGTTGTTCGGGTACAGTTTATCCGGGTTTCATTGAAGACGAATCATGTTAGAGCAGCAGTTCCTGGATGTCTGTGGTAAAATGAAGTCATGAGTTTTCTCTAACTGAGTGTCTCATTCTCCAGGAATGAACGTCCCGTCTCCGACTGAGATGAAGCAGCTTTGGAAGATGCACTTTCCACTGCTGATCCTCCTTTACCTATCAGGAGCTGTCCAGTCTCAAGTAAACCCAGGTAGATGTTTTTTTTTAAATGCATGATTAAATTAATCAAGCTGTAATGAAAATACAAAGCTATCAGCCCTGTCGTCATTTACCTGATAAATATGTTTAAATGATTAACAGTTTTGAACAGTTGGTGATATTTTCATCCACTCTGGGGTGACTTTGAGTCTTAATTTGGTCACAACTTTCTCTGTGCCTCAGCAAATGGACTTTGAAATGTTTTTGCCCCATTGACTTTTATTATAATCAAATTTTTGATTGTAAATCCTTGACACTGGGTGAAAATATGAGAGAGACCTTTGCACACTTACCTTGATATACAGGTAAATGGGAAAATAAAAAAATAAGCAGCTCAGCTCTCAGACCATAGTAAACATAGTAGGTGTATTTATACACACATATAATGTGTTTATGCACACTATTTGTTTTACTACATAGAACTCCATTTAAAAAGTTTTACCTCTTCCCAACAGGAAAAATCAGCAACAATCAAGAATGCATGATTATTGGTGTCAAGGCTTTGCAATCAAAAAATGTCATTATAAGTGATAGGGGCAATGAGGCAAAAATAGCCCCGAACATAAAGAAAGGGTAGTCGATTTGAACAGTACACAAGGGTAATAAACAATCATGAAAGTTTACTGTTTGAGAGTTTGCTCATAATTTATGAAGTCAGATGCGATTGGAGTAACTTTGGTCAGAATAAGATTGCAATGTACTTTTTCTGCTTATAAATAAACTAGAGATACAAAATGATTTACGAGTAAATGTGCATTAGGTGCATTTATTTTTTTAATCTTAAAAGGATAGTTCATTAAAAAATCTTAATAACGTTATAATTGACCCACCTGTTTTATTCTTTTGTTGAATAAAACAAAAAGATATATTGAAGAATGTTGAATTGTATTTGTTTGTAATTTCAATGGCGGCTTTTCCCAACATTATTCAAAATATTTAGCTTTGTGTTCGACAGAATAAGGGAGTAGATAAAAGTTTAGAGCCACTTGAGTGTCCGTAAATAGTGAGGAAATGTTCATTTATGGGTGAACTATCTCGTTAATGTGTTTTGAAAATCAATCTCAGTTGGAGCTACAAGGGCATTGATCATCAAAAGGTGGATATCCTGTATGTGTTTGGTCAGTTATTAGAATAGGCAGATTTGAGGCAACTGAGATGTGCTTTTGCATGAACTTACAGGTTATAAAGTTTATGTGGGCGCTCATTTTTTCCTGTCCTTAAACACGTTTGGCCCAAATCTCATGTTTTAAAAGATGAAGTGCTATGCAAAGGCTATTTCCTGGCTATGGCTACAAATGCAAGACTGGGACTCTCTTTCCACTCTTTAAATTCATAAAAAATTACCATTTACAGATACACTTTTAAAAAGAAAGGTGCCATTGAAGAAAAAAAATGTTATAGTGTGAGGAGCATATAAATATTTTTAAAGAGCGTTGTTGCACCATAAAGTACTTTTTTTGGCATAAAAAGGTTGCATTAATTTTAAACGTTCTTTATAGAGCTATCAATGCCAATATACCCCTTATTTTTTAGAGGTTATAGTGTTCCTCGAGTAATGAAAAACTGTACATATTCAGACAGATTTTTCAGATATTCCTTTTTTTACCCTTGAAATGCAAACAAGCTAAGCTATAATGGTTTGCTAACTGTTTGAAACACTTTTTATTGTTTCAATGTTTTTAAGAATCCACAGACAGAAATAAAGAGTGACCAATAGCATTAATCAGAAGAATAATGGTAACACTTTACAATTTACAAGGTTTACAAGACTTTACTTAACACTTGGTGTTATTAGTAAACATTAGTAATTGGATTAGTTAAAATTAATTAAAAATGAACAAAGCATCTGTTAAGCATGACTTTATCTTTGTTAATGTTTACTTACACAGAACACTAATGTGATTATTAATGGATTATATAACATGACCTAACAACGAGCACCACATTTATTCAGCAATATTAAATCTTTGTTCATGTAAACTTGATTTTGATGAAAAATGACTATTAAAAAACTATGTAAATTTGGTTATAAAAAAAATTAAGTTGGGGCAACTAGAAAAATGTACTTATAAAAACTAGGAAAATTAAGTTGGAGTGACAGCATGCAATATAAAAATTAAGTTAGGGTAACTAGAAAAAATATGCTGTGGCAACTAGAAAATGAAGTCATAAGAAATAGAATAATTAAGTTGTGGCAACTAGAAAATGAAATTATTAGAAAGATAATAATTAAGTTGTGGCAACAAGACAATGAAGTTATAAGAAATAGAAATAAATAAGTTGGGGTAACTAGACAATGAAGCTAGAAGAAATGGAAAAATTAAGTTGGGGTAACTAGAAATATTTAGTTGGGCTATTTTAAGAAATATTAAGTACAGTAGCTAGCAATATTAAGTCAGGCAATTAGAATTTCTTAAAATATTAACTTAATTAAATAGTAACATTGCTTTGACATCACTGATTTGCACCTACACTTGCCTTATAAATAATGAATTCAACTGCTAAATGAACTAAATAAACTATAGCTTTTTTGCATTCATTCCATTACTTTCCTGTTAAAAACTGACACTGCTTTGAAAAAAAAAGTGTTGTGTATATCAGGGAAGTTTTAAAAAAGACAAATAAACACATTCCTATGAGTAAAAATATAAGTGTGTATATAGTTCATAAATTAGAGTTAGACCCATTCATAATAATAGTTACACAGTATCATTTAGTTCTTTTACATGAAAAACAGTTAAATACAAAATTATTAGTTAATTTGCTGTATTTTTACTATGTTTACAGTACATACATAACATCTCTCTCTCTCTCTCTCTTTACAATATTTAGTTTATTGAGCAACTTAACTGCTTAACTGAGATAGATTAGATTAATTATTGATCAACAGTGACTTGGATTATTGAACCAATTAAATTGGTATGATTAATAATTTAACAATGATAGACCTTAGCTGTTTGTAATTTGTATTATTATTTTACTGTTAAACCCCTCTTGAGAGAACTTTTCAAAACTTCATTTTAAATGGAGTCTTTTAATTGTAGATGCCTTTTACATTTTAGGATGGTGGGCTCTCGTATAAATTGATTATTTTCAGAGGTGTGTGGTGACAACGATTTAAACTATTTAAATGATAGAAATGGATCTAAATGATTGAAAGCTTCTGGTATAAATGCTAAAAAATGGTGACTTGACTTAAGTTCTGTGCAGCTTTTAGGTTTGTTGATATTCTCTGTAATGTTACAAATAACTATTCAACATCATAATAATTGAACAGCTACAGTAATGTGGACATTGCTGACACATTTGCTCTGAGTTGAGGCTCAAAAACTGTGTTTGACAATTTATGAGACAAATCTCTATGGAAATCGGTTACTGTGGAACCACTAACATCATGTGGTCACAATCTCTGATTTTATAAGGTCGGATTGCTGCAAGTTGCATTGTTGTTTTTGACTAGGCCTGAAACTAGCAGTCTTGTAGTTGTGATCAATGTAAGATTGAGGTCTGGAAGACTCCCAGATTCCTTTCTGGTTCTCATGGCTTCTTTTTCTTTTTATCTGTGTCTTTCAACTAGTTTTTTCTCTCTAGCATGGGTGGTTTGTGGGGAGGAAAGTGTGATGTCAATGTGAGGTTCAATTATATTTTACAAGGAAACCAGAAGCCAGCTCATGGTGAGCAGCCGTACAGTAGAGACTAAAGCTAAACTCTGGAAAGCAGCTAATACCAGCATGGCTAGAGGCCGTTTCTGCTGGGATCCCCCAGGATGAAAACCACACTGCGCTCTTGTAGTCTACTGAGCTGAGTTCCTCTATGAAGCAGAGGAGTTTGATTAGCCAAGGTGACATTGCTTTCCTTCCATTGATCATGTGTTCATCACATGAACAAATCCATGCCTCAGCCTTACAATAAGATGAGACACCAGACAAAAACACTTGTATCTCTTGCACCTATTAGTTTTGAGATGTTGTGCTTTTTGGCCTTCGGAGAGAATTATCATTCAAATGCATAAGGCATACACTCAAAAAAATTATTTTTTTCTAAAACATTTAGCAGTGTGCATAGATATACATGTAATAACCAATACACAGGTTGTTAAATACTAATATTAATAATCATGCCAACAACAACAACAGTAGTGACAATAGAAAGAAAAAACTGAAAAATAAATGAAAAAGACACACTGAAACAGATAAAAATAATAAATTAATATATTCACATACACACACACATAAAACAAATTTCCAAACTAAAAAAGCAATAAATCTGAATTAGCAATAAAGCCATATCTGTATTTTAGGTTACATAAGGGCAAAATTGAGCCAGTTAAAAATAAATAAATAAAAAATAGTTATAGACAAACAGGGCCGACGTGGTGGCGCTGTAGGTAGTGCTGTTGCCTCACAGCAAGAAGGTCGCTGGGTTGCTGGTTCCAACCTCGGCTCAGTTGGCGTTTCTGTGTAAAGTTTGCATGTTCTCCCTGCGTTTGCTTGGGTTTCCTCCGAGTGCTTCCGTTTCCCCCATAGTCCAAAGACATGCGGTACAGGTGAACTGGGTAGGCTAAATTGTTCGTAGTGGGTGTGTATATGTGGAAGTTTCACAGAGGTCACAGAGGGTGCTGGAAGAGCATTGGTTCGTGGGAGGAGGGGGATCGATAAAAATGAGGTGCCAGATCAGATTTCAGAGGTTCCCGACTTGGCTTGTTCCGGAACAAATTAAGCCCTGGTTTTATTCATATAAGGTTTTTGGAGAGAGATTTGTTCAGACATTTGCCTGAAAAATGCAACATTTTTTGCCAACAAAAAGTTATGAAAATTCATTTATTTTCTGGTGGTTCACAAAAAGAACCAATACATTTAAACCTGACATTATTTGATGTTTTGATTGTATGCAAATTTAAGCAAATTAGCATGTTTAATAAAGTGAGACTTCATTTGCATATTTAAACTAGATTTTAGAAAAAGTGTAGTGCAAAAAAAGTTTTCAGCTCTA